AGGAAATAATGAGCTGTGCCCACCTCGGTGCCGGAGGAGTCTCAGTCCAAATACTCTTCTGCAGTTTTTTCACGACGTTCACCTCGACCGGTGACGTCCGTCGTCACGTTTCTCAGGATTACACCAAAAACAATCAACACGTTTAAAAAAAACAAAACCTGGTGGATAGATGCAGGACGCGAGCCAAGAAAGAAGAATAACATCTTGACACAGATGCGGAGAAAGATTCACAGACGTTTCTCTTTCTTATTTTTTTTTATAAATATACGTCCTGTAAATAATATTTTCTTCGTCAAGCTCTGTGAATTATTTCACAAAGTTAAAAAGCAGTAGAATCCAGATCTGTGGCACAGTTTGGATCCACAGCTGCAAACCAACACTTTCCAATAATGAGACATCAATCAATGCAGATTCTGATTAAGACTATTTAGTCCTAAATGAAAGAAAGTGGAATAAAGTGGGGTAATTAGCGAACAGAGCTAATGAGATGCTATCACACAACAGTTTACTTTGTATTTCAACAGGAAATTCTGGGGTTTTCCGCGTCAGTAATTAATTACAGCCTGAAGATGAAGCTTCTGTGACACTTTACTGCCTTCATGTGGGTAAATACTGCGATCTGGAAAAGCAATGAACCTTTTTCTAGAGTAATTAAGTCTTGAGGCCTTTTCCAGTGGCTCCTCTAAAGTGAAGCCAAATCATCATGATTGCCCCCTGGTGGTTGGCTGCAACATAGGCCACGTTCGCGGAGGGGACAATGTTGGAAACTCTGGAGCTTCCATTACTTTGTTCTGTCATAAATAAAGTGTAGGCAACTGAAACTAAACCTGGAAACATTAATACACTGAGCGAAGAGACATTTTTAAAAATACAATCTGTGGAATCTGCTCACAAACCTCATTTAAAACAACTGGAAGATGATTATTCAGCGGCAGCTGCTTTATAACTGATTGGATTCATTCTTGTACAAAAAGCACAGACGCACTCTGCCGAGACTAATTAAAGGAGTCGGCCTCTGGTTTCCAGAACGTACCCGTGTCAAAATAAAAATCAAAAGCTCTTTTTGTCATGTGCTGAGAGCAATTTAATGGACTTCATTTCCCATTAACTTACTACAATTACTGACATTATCAGCGAGTACATTAGACAAAGTGTCACTCCTGATTCAGCGATGCAGTCTGAAGGATTTCTTGTTATCAGCTGTCCTCACTATCTTCATTAACACGGAGACTTTATCATCCCACTGACTTTATACGACTCTGCATGGGGAACCTCCGCAGGCTGGGCGGATATGTGCCTTTTTTCATTTTTAGAAATGTAAGACACAAAACTCTACAAATGTAGCTACAGCTAATTAAAACACTGAATAAACAATAATAATAAAACAATAAACACTAAATTGTGGAATCAGAATGTCGTGGAACCGCGTGTAAAACTATGAACAGTGCATGAAAGTGAAGTAAAAATCTAAACTCAGAAACTAAAATGAGGTAGTGAGACATAAGTGCATGATGAGCATGTATGTGTGGACGTCCTTCTCATCTTCTTTGATTTAAATCACGTATAAAACATTAGTTCCATCTGCTAACGAGGAAAACGTTTTATATGTAAGTTGAACTTGTATCAAATAGGATAAAATATCTATATATAGATAGTATATATACTATATATATATAACAAAGTTATTGCAATTGAGTCACTTTTAAAGAAGTAAAAGAATCTCATCCTGTGAGATCAGATGTGTTTCGTGTGCCGGCCCGAACGTTACGGCTGAACACGTTTAATCTCCACTACAGACAAACTGTTGGAATAAATCCGCCTCAGTGGTTGTTAGGGTTCTTAGAACTTTTCAAAAATCTAGATATCACATAACGACATCCCCCTCTTCCACCACGGCAGGAATACATCTGCTTTACGTTGGTTCATTTGAGGAGGAAGATGATGAAGATGATGATGATGATGATGTAAAAACCAAGAGGATGAAAGTATTTATCCAGTGTTGAAGTTGAAGTTATTACTCTAAACTCTGTGCTTTGGATTTAAGCTTTTCCGCATCTGAAAGAAAGAAGACGAATCAAAGCAGTGACGTAAACCTTCAACCATTAAATGTTATCTTTAGGTTCATTGAAACATTTAAACATTCTCTGTGGAGCGAGGACGTTGAATTAAAGATGCCGGTGGTGTCAACTTATACTCGGTCTCCTTGAGGCTCTTTGTTTTTGTGCGTCCTTGACGTAACAGACAGAGGACTGAGGTGTTGTCCTGAGGTTGTATCTAAGTCCTGTGAACACAGAAAGCCATCGATTTGTGGACGTGCCGAATGTCTGTTGACAGTAAAATATCTCGTCTTCTTCCCCCTGTGCTGAGCTTCGACTCCGGAAAATGGAAATTTTTCTTTTTCCTCTTCCAAAACAATTACGTCCCATGGAGAAATGAAAAAAATCTCAGTTTGTCTTCTGGCTTCATATCCACCGTCGTCCCTCGGCAGGCTGTCCGTCAGCTAATTGGTGTTTTCCATGAATAATGGTGCGAACTTCTCCTCCTCTGCCATCAGGCCAGAAAAGCTCCAGAGGCCAACATGTTGTGGTCGGAGATAAACAAACCGAGTCTTGGCCCAAACTGCTCGGCAGGAATCCATTCTATCGAGCCGGCAAATGGAGTGTGGGTGAGACAGGGTTCATCAACAACTCAATGCACACACACTGTGTGTCTTTACGGACAAACCGGAACCTGCTGGATCTGCACATCACGCAGATGTGCTGCTGAGCACCAGATAAAAGCAGTCGGGGGAAAGTTTAAAGGATCCTGAGACACGACTCAGACAAATAAACGATAACGAATCATCCAGAGTTAAAGTCGAAGTAAATACAACAAGCAGAGGAGACGTCCCTCATTCAATCCCGAGCATGTTCAGTGATTTCAATTTCAGGCTTCGGTGGGTTATTAATCATCAAGATATAAAAACTGAAACATGTTGAACAGGAAAGACGATGCAGCTCCTGTATCTGGAAACTCTCTCTCTCTCTCTCTCTCTCTCTCTCTCTCTGTGAAGACTATTGAAAACATTCACTTCATCGTTTTCAGACTTCGGGTCAAAGATTTACTCCACAAAGTATTTCTTTACAAAATGTTTATGAGCAGTGGACTGGAGGTTTCGAGTGTCGTCCTTTTAATGTTATGTTTGAATTCACAGACACATTTGTATCTGCATCAATTAATCAATAAATCAATTAAGCAATCAGTCACATTCTATTTGTACAGTTATGTTGTCGATAATCCCAGAAACTGTGATTTGATATAATATATAAAGTTATATCCGTACATCCATTCTGTGCAACACTTATCCTTTGATCGCTGAGAGGGAACTGGAGCCGAAAATATGATTGCGTATATATAATATATAATAGAAACAATAGAAATAAAGTTTATGGTTTAAGTGTGAAATATAAAGACTCATCAGGACGTATAATTCTTTGTCACAGAGTTTTGATCTTAGAGAAGAAATCTCTTAATTGTTCTTCTCATGTCTTCTCTTTATTATAGTTAATATTCCATCAATAAACTTTGAATCGTAACTTTACTCTCAGTCCCTTCCTGTGTAGTGAATAAAACGAAGACCAATGACATCAGAGGGACACGTGGGGAATAACAAATGACTGGTTAAGTGAGAAAAAGGGAATAAACAGCGACGTGGTTTCACTTTCATGAAGCGTCAGAGTGCGACCTTGAGACGCTCCACCTCTACGTTCATCACCGATCCCGCGCTCTGCATCAAATACCATTCCTATTTCCATTTTTATGCCATCTGGGCAAACAGCACCTGTGAAAATGAGCTTGCGGGTTCACAGAGGGAGACTTTGATTGAAATGCTACCAAAGCAATCAGTTGTTACAGACGACCGTATTAAAGCCCGGAGTGTTTGGAGATTAATTACGGCTGGGAGGCTGACTCTTTCTGAACTATTGAACACGTGTGATTGAAAGGCCTTCTGCATCAATAGCAGGCCGCCAGGCGAAGTGTCCCAGAGCCGCGAGAAGAGAAAGTTGTTTGTGCGAGTGTTTCTGTAAAAGTCATTTCAAATCGACAGATTGGTGAGCGTCCGCCCAACTGTCAATCCCCACAAATGTAAAGATTTGTTTTGGGCTTGAGCATCGAGGATTATTATTAATGTTTATTGATGTTGAAAGACGTGTGACTCGGTTTTCTTTCAAAGCGATGACGCCGGTGGGTTTTTCCTTATTTTCAATAATATCTGATCTAAATATTTTTTATGTGACGACTTCTTGTGTGCACAAGAACGAAGCAAATCTTTACAGATGATTTCTCACAGAAATGTCAATAAATCTGCACTAATCCAAACTGGAAACTATTGTTTTATGAGTTAGTCACTTAGTTTATGAATGTTTCAACTACAAACTCCAGATCTACAGGATTTAAATGTAGTTTCTTAGGGGGCAGGATTTTTCCAGCGATAACAGATTTGGCACAGATCCGGACAATCTGCTGCAGAAATTTGTTTTCACTTTCATTCTAATTATTTAATTTACTGATGTTGAGAGATTTGTGACAATTTAACTGTAAAGAAATGATCCTGATGGTTCCTCACCACAGGATAATCTATATATTTAAAACTTTTCTGATGCATAACTTTTTCAATGATGACTTTGTGTGCGAGAATGTAGCTAAAGCTTTATTCCAACTTTATTTGTGGTTTAAATATAACAGAACTTCACGAGTTGATGCTGACAGAAAAATAAACATTTCAATCAATAAAAATACAACTTTTTCAGCCACTAACTAATTTTCCTTGCTTTTAATTTACAGTGAAACATCTTGGTCCTTTAATTCCACATTGGATTGACACTGTGAAATGTAAGTAACTCTAGTTGAACCAGATGAACGTTGATGTTGGCAGATAAACGTCCAGAGCGAATAATTTATCTGGATCTTTAAGGTAATTTTCACCGTCCGAACATATAAAATAAAGTTTTACCCACAAGTTTTTTCTGTAACATCTTTATTTAAAAGGATTTACAACACAAACTGGCACCACTTAATTTAAATGGCATCGACCATCTTAGTTCGTCTGCACAACTTTCATCTTTTTTTGTACATAGATACACAGAAAATGCGTCCCTTCAAAATAAATCCATGCACGATCAGTAAGAAAGGAAACAGTCAAAAGGAAAAAACAAAAAAGGGAGAATATTCTGTCATAAAATGTGAAATTTAAAAGCTGCAAAGACGAAATGTAAGCGTGTTGAAAAAGATCCTAAAACTGTAACAACACTTGAGTTAAATTCCAAAACTGTGAACGGGATCATTAAACAACTTGATAAAACCAGTGGGAAAAGAAAAGCTTGAAGTTATTGGTGGAAATAAACTTGATTTAGTTTGAGCTGAATCTGATGTGATCACCGGTTTGTTTTGTTTTTTTTTAAACTGTTAACAAAAAGTTTCTGTTTCAAAGTTTCTCATCAGATGGAAAAAAATCTTCCGACCTACATCGTATAAATTCCTTTTTGAAAAGAGTCATAATTTGTTTTTTTGCATCCACTTGTGCAGAATCATCTTTTGGTGAGTTACGTATGTTCTTGCTTGGCTTAGCTTTAACTTTGTGCTTACACCTGTTTGGCTTATCGGACACTCAGTTTCCAGTTTATTAGGAACACGCAGCTCAAACTCACAGTCCTGCAGTGAACCTCCCGTCATGATAATGTGTTGAAACTGTTTTAGACTGAACTGCTTGGACACTACGGAGGATTAGTCTATCCTCGGTGATATACACGGGTTGGACAAAATAATAGAAACACCTGCCAGTGACATAAAACTGCAGCAAAAAACACTAGAAACACTCCAGAAGGTTGTGAAACTTCCTGTAGGTAGAATTCCGGCTAGGTGTCCCTAATAAACAGACAACTGAGTGCGTGTGACTTCACCGTGACCTGCACACATGACAGATCCTCCTTTACACTTGACTTTAACTTGAGGAAAAGAAGCAACAGTTCAAGAACATTAAAACTTCGGCATGTTGGTTTAGTATCAAAGTTATAAAATAGATGAGACCGTGTTTTGTCTTCATCTGCGCAGAGATGTTTCATGACGAGTAACGTCAGGTAAACACTAGTGCATCAGTGGCCACGATCCCAAGGTAAGAACGCAACGTCCCTGTTAATCTGCCACAAAATTTACCCAACGCCAACTCTGTAACACCAGCGAAAGATTATCAGCAGGGGAGACCAACAGCTGAAGGACGAGCCGACACATCAGCTACATCTGATTCGTAATTTATCTGCTGTCAGACACTCGTTCAACCTCATCAGTCCCATTTCACTTACAACATAAAATCTAACCGACAGGGAGCTTTTCTAGAGGAAACATGCTGTTGTTCTTCCTCCTTAAATGACCGACGTGACGGGATCTACACCGACGCCGTCTGTGGAAGCTGCATCCTGAAGGTTCGGTTGTGTTGAACGCGAGAAAGATGCAGAACGAGGATGAAGAGGGTTTGGAAAAGGTTCGGTGACTGAAGCCTCTGCTCACCGGGAGAATCTGTTAATGCTATGAAATAAGATCTGATGAACCACAGACAAGGTGAACACCTCCGTTACTGTTGCGTTACAAAAGCAAATGTTGTGTAATGTCACCTACAAATTCAAAAAAAAAACACCCCAACTAAAGAAAACTCGATCATCGTCAGCAAATATGTCAATAAAACAACTTTCTGTGGAAAAGAATTCACTCTGTTAGGATTCAAAATTGCCGAATAATCATTTTTATATGAAAGAAACATGTGCAGTTAGTCTGTATACAACCACCAGGGGGCGATGCATTCACTTTTCCTCTCTGTAACGAGATGAGCTGAGGAGACAAGAAGGGTCGTGCTTCTTTTTTTTTTTAGGCCGTGCCGGCCGCTCCTGCCGTCACTGCCGTGGAGATCGTCGCAGGGTTCAGGCCTTTCCCTCGATGTCTCTGACCTCCTCTCCTGCGTCCGCCGCCGCCCGACTTGAGCTGCGGACAAACACAGAAGCACCGGGGTGAGACGGCTGCAACGAGAAGTCAGCTCGGAAAGAAAGAAAGACACAGGAGGTAAAGATGGTTGGTCCACAACAACACAGATGTTTCTGAGAAACCAAAACACATCTATCTAAAATAACAACTCCCTAAAATTACAGAATTCATATTTGGGAAAAAGATTATTTGACATTTGGCGAGGCAGGATTTACGAGCTTTACTGCAGCGAGCCACCAGGGGGCAATCAAGTTGTTATGGCTTCACTTCAGGGAGCTGTTGTCCATCTTTCACTCATTGACACGTAACAACAACAACATCCCGCATGTTACTTCAAGAGTTAAGAATAATGAAATAACTTCATCGGAAATAAACTAATGAATACTCAAAGTATACTATATTACAGTACATTTGATAGAAAATACTTTCAGAACTACTTGTTTACTCAGATTCAAATCGAAGGTCCAGACATCAGGACTCTAAGTTTGTGGAATCAATCTTTACAACAGCCGATTTCAGACATTAGCTGCGGAAAATGTCCGAGATTTGGGTCTAGAGATTTTTGTGATTTTTTTTGTTTTTGAAAAAATATGAAGAACCAGCAAAAGATATTCTGAGTCACAGGAACATGTTTCCATCAACGCTGCCGTCAAGAGCGAGCAAACTTTAGAAGACTAGGACCTCATGACGCCACAGTCTGCGGGAAAAACGACTTTACCTTGTTTTCTTTGTTGCCGTCTTTACACTGAGCCTCGTCCTCTGCCACTGTCTGACGCAGCATGCCAAGACAGGGAGAGAGACGCAGTGAAGGAAAGCAAAGGAGACGGGAGCATAAAAGTGAAAAGTGTTATCGTAGGACGGAAAAAACAGAGCGGGGGGGGGGGGCGGCGGTCAGATGGGAAAATATAGAGGTGCGTTAAGAAAAGACAATAATGAGGTGGAAAGGTGGAACCGTGCCGGGAGCAACACAGGATATTATGGGCAGGGTTAAGAGACAGACGAGGAATAAAACCATTAAATGCAGAAAGAGAAATGAACTGGTGAATTTAAAGTTTACAAGCACCAAGTAAAGAAAATAAAAAGCATTTTAAAAGGTGATTTTAATATTCAAAGACGTTACGAATGTTTATTTTTTAGTTTAGAAAGGAATTAAATACTATTAAATGAATGGTACCTTTATGACAAGAAAAGGTTTTTCATGATTTTTCAGTCATTCAACGTTACCACCCTCCGTTAAATTCTCATTTGATCGAAACATTAATGAGTCCTGGACTTAAAAACAATGACGCCCAACTCAGCCCTGCTCATTATATTCTCTAACAGACAAATCAAAGCGTGTTCAAACTCCCGTGTCACTTGTTTCAATCAGAACATATTGGAATACGTTAAATATTCATTGGACATGGATTTACTCACTGGTAAATGTGCTGCGTTGGGACTGGGCGGCCGCGCCGACGATCCGGCCTCCTCATTGGCTGCTGTGCCCTCTTTAAAATTTTTTTTTTTGGCCTGCATCTTGGACAGTTGGGCCTTAGCTGCCTGGGTGCTCACTGATTGGAGAAGCTGCAAATACAAACACAGAGGGTTTCAGTAAATCCTCATTATTCAAATCTAAATGATGCAGAGGTGAGAGAAAAGCCCCGGTACCTTGATGATTGTGCCCACAGCTTTGGTGCGTCCTTCCCTGAACACCAGCTTCTGGTCACAGTGAAGGTACTCGGGCGTCTTAATGAAGCGGAAATGAACTGAGGCCTTGTCCCCTGTCCTCAGACAGTCTTTGTTCATTGTCAGGATGGTGGCTGTCTGCCTGATGCTGCCACAGTGAACTGGTGTGATGGCGAGAGAGGGTGGGTGGATGAGTTTCTGATTGATCAGACACTTTAAAACCTATAAAATCCAAGTTTAACTGCACCCAGGACACTCAAGAACAAATTAAAGACGTACAAATGTGCGTGTCAGGGTGTAAATGGATTTGACGGTCACTAACCCATGGCCTGGTATCTCGGTGATATCGTAGTCGGGTGGTGCAGCACCAAAATCTCAGCCTCAAACTCCCAGGTGGCCTGAGGCATCAGCTTCGGTGAGACCATCACCATTCCTTTCCTTATAGAAGAACGCTTGATCTGAGACGATGGACAGAGAGGACAGAAAAAAACAGCAGGAACAAAAGAGAAAAATTAAAATGAGGGTCGGTGGAGCCAAACAAGAATTAGAGACAGAAGACTACCTGCTCCCACACTGCGGGATTTACATGCATTACAAAACTGATTACAAAGTTAGGAGACTAATTCTTATGCATATTGAATCCAAAAGTTTCGGTACAGTCATCAGAAGCTATAAGAACTTTTAAAGTTGTCTACGTGCTGTTTTTGAAGTCGGTTAAAGCGTTAAATGTTCTTTAGTTGCAGTCCTTCTTCCTCTTCTCCTCCCTCATACCTTCTTCAGAGCAAAGGACGCCGTCTGTCCACCGCGGACCTCTTTCACCGGCATCCTTTTGCGGTGGATGGATTTAACGGTGATGGGGATGAAGGTGCCGAGCGGGTCCGGGCCTAAGAGCAACGTGTCGTTTAGCCGAATCATTCCACGTAACGTAGTCCCAGAAACTACCGTGCCCACACCCTGCAGAGAGAAAATCAACACGAGGCCAAAAAGATTTTAGGATTTACTACTGGACACGCTGCGTACATTCACTGAGCAACAGCGCCCTCTGCAGCCACATGTGGAGATTCATTCTGTTGGGCTCCCTGTGTGATCGATGAAGTGGTTTTAATGTAGAACTGAAACACAGTCACAACGCTGGATATTACCCATAATCCCCGGCTTCCTGAACCAGGACAGCTGGACCAGCTCTGTTTCGAATTCTTGATTTTATCGAGTGTGTGTTTCATTTCATACCGGTACTGAGTATGTGTCGTCTATTTGGAACTCTGCTGGCTCGTCGTTGCTGAAGATGGTCCTGGAAGACAGGAGGTTTAAGAACATCTTCAGCAGCTCCATGTTCTCCCCCGTCACGTTCGAGATCTGGAAAATCGGACACATCCTGCGGAGGGAAGACGTCGGAGAGCAGGAGAGGAAATGTCAGTTAACAAAGTTGGACACTCACTTCAAGGCAAAATCACAACAGATGAATGGTAAAGGCTTGATATGAGCACATGCCCTCAAGCAGAAGGTCCCCGGTTCGATTCCCAGCCAACGCAACAATTCACTGCACATCATTCTCCTCGTTACATTTGCTGTCTCTCTCCATTGACTGTGTCCAGTAAAGACAAAACTCCAAATCAATATTTAAGACTTAAGACGTCAGCAATCATCTGATCTGCCTAAATGACCGTTTCAGGAATGGTTCTGAGTATTTACTCAAATCTGAGGTTTAACATTAACTAAATTAAATTCAGGATGCAGGAGGAGCGATGTAGAGGAAATGAACCGGGAACACGAAGTGATGTTACCACAGAAACAATCTCTACATTCATTCATGATTGAATTATTGAATCTCTATTAAGAGATTTTTTTTGTTGGTTTGGGGATAAAAAGTTTTGTGAAATTAATTAAATTAACATCGATGTGGAAGAGCCCTGTCTCCTAAATCAAAGTGCACGTCAAATAAAATGTTCTCAAAGACGGTCTGGTTTTAATTTTAGGTTTGATCGAGTGTCCGTGTTTCTGATGAGCTTGGTTTTAGTTATTTGATGATATAAAAACAGGATGAAACATAACTGCACAGACTCTGGCTCCAATATTTTAGCTTAATGTTTGTACAACGGGAGGAGGTGGAGACGCGTCGTCCATCTTTACTTACAGTCTGTGATTTTGTTCTGTGTGCAGCACATTTTTAAACTGCACGCGTGTGTTTCTACACGTGTGTCCGGTCTCTCCCTGTAAGTAATCCAGACTCACCAGCCCTCTGTCATCTTCTACTCTGCTCTTACCTCTCTGAGCTGAAGTTTGAGGCCGTGACGATGACGTCATCCTTGTTCTGGACCAACACTGGGATTTTCCTGCAGCCCGGAGACTTTAATAACCTCTGTAATAATTTTAGCGTCTCTGCAGATAAACACACACAGAAAAATCCAGTTGTCAAATCTGAAACATCACATCACGGAATCTGCAAAAATACAACACGACTTCACAGACTGAAAAAATTATCAACATCTTTCACAAGGAGTTAGGTTTTTGAAGTGTATAGTTTTAAATACATTTAGGAAAAGGAAGTTAGAGATACCTCTTTAATTCTAACTCCCCTGGTTTTAAAAGCACATTTAGTCACATTTCAGGAGACTCCCTGTTTGCTTCCATTTGCTTTATTAATTTGCTCTCGCAGAGTTTTGATTTTAAACAAATTCAACTCTTCTTCCTTTTGTTTCCCATTAAAACCCTGCAGCAGTCTGGAGGGTGCAATTCCTTACGTTCCCTCAGAGGCTTTTTTATAATGTGTAAGTATGAGTCTTACACCCACCGCCTTGAGTTTAGATTTGGGTTTTATATAAACAGCCTTAAGCTTGAATTTTAAACACACCTCCTTAACATAATTAAAGTATAGAGGTCTCCGAACAGTGGAGAGAGGGAAGTACGGTATGACAACATTATCGTATTATTGTGGTGGTAAAGTAAATTTTACTGATTTACCCTGCAAGACATTATTCTCACATGATGAAAATAACTTTGTTGGATGTGAAGCTGGTTATTAAAGACCAGCAGCTCTGCGGTTACACACAAATTGGTCGAGGATTTAAATACGCCAGTGTTTCCGAAAACAATCTGCGCGTGCACACACACACACAATTACACATTGACGAGAGAGTGAAAGACAGGAACTCGTGTGCACTGAAACTATGAGGTCTGACTGTCTGTGTGGACGGTAAAAACTCAGAGAAATCCAAAACAATAACCTAGAGATTTCATGATATTATGAGAAGATAGACACTCAGTCAGCACGACAGTAACTGGGAATGTCTCTTTACCTTGCAAGATGTTGGCCGGACACATGTCTATCTTAGTAACGACGACAAACACGGGCACATTTAGGGCCAGTGCCAGACCCAGGTGCTCTTTGGTCATTCCAACGATGCCAGCGTTACTGCCAACCTACAGGGACAAAGACACAGGGTAGAGAAATTTAAAAATATTTTTCTAGTTTGGCAGTAATGGGTTTTTCTAGACACACAACTGACACTCTAAGAAACACAACCACACAGCCCTTCCTTTCCCTCTGCCCTCTCTCACCATGAGCATGCAGAAATCAGGCAGGTGTCCGGTCATGCCAAAGACGGTGGTTTTGAGGTACTTCTCGTGGCCGGCCAAGTCAATGAAGGTGATGACCTTGGAGGATTTCTCACAGATCTTGGTCCAGTCGAGGCTGCCACCGTGGCTGTCGGGCTTGTTGACCACCTGAAGAAACAGATGCACCCAAAAACAAGTCAAGTACACTCACGCATCATTTTAGCAAACTTCTGATCCTCATCTCTTCTAGAATAATGCTGCGATAGTTACATCATGGATCAGAGGAAGCTCACCTGTCCCTCCTGATCAAAACCCAGGATATCGTTGCCCACACTGCTGGTCCTGCCGCTCTCCATTTCGTGTTTGTGCCTAAAGAGCTTCTGGCGAGCAAAGCCTCTGCCGTTGTCCAGCTCACCGTGGGTCAGAACCCCCAACAGAGTGCTCTTCCCAGCGTCCACATTCCCTACAACCGCCACTCTGGAGACGAGATGAAGGAGAAGAGTGAAAGAGAGAGAGAGAGAGACAGGTTCAATTATTAATAAATAAAATGAAACCGCTTTCAGACATGTACTGGGGTTGATGACGCTTCTAATGGGCGCCAGACGCAAAATAAAAAAACGAATCTCTCAGTGAAAACGCTGTGACACACACACGACGAAGCTGTGAAGAGATTTTGAGGTGATAAGAGCCGACACCGGTGAGTGAGTATTGTTATGAGTATGAGTTAATACGTCACTTCCTGTCTCTGTCTGCTGCACCCGGCTGCTCCACCTCTCGCCTGAATAATGCAGCAGATTTGATGCTGCAGAGAAACTCACGCTGCGTTGAAAGGAAAACTGCGAATAAACTCTGTAGCCAATTCTCCTGATTTTACCCACAGGTCACGTCTGAAAACAGGACGTACACATGCCTGTCTTGGATTTGACAGCTTTTTTACGAAGCCTGTTCCTTGTATACATGTATGTTCAAACAATGCCTGTTCCTGCACTGCACTTATTTTATGATCACGGGGTGTTGTTGGAAATATGTACTGCATATTTTCAGTATAAATAAAATTCTGAGACAAACTATCATCTCTCAAATGCTATTTCTCATCAAAGTAAATGAAACCCACAAATCACACAGTACACTCGGATTGAAAAATCTAAACTGAACCGGGCTGTGCTGCAATAAATCAAAGTGTCACTGAGGAAAATCCATCAGGCTTTTTTCTTTATCCAGATCCATCATCTGTTCTCAGTTTTACTGCCATTATATATATATATATATATATATATATACCTATATTGATGTATAGATATATAAAAATATTTCATGTGTGCATTTTAGCAATATCAAATGTGCTTCTTAAATGATGACCCATAACATACAGCATCCATCACAGAAGCTATGCGGTGCTACAAGATATGTAATGATAATAAAGTTGTATTCGAAAATATATAAAAGATGAGATTAAGCTGAATATAATTTCTAAGACTTGATCTGCTTTCAGACACGAACAAAAGTCCAGATATTATCCTGAATGTTTGTGGCAGGGAAATATGTTCCGAAGCAAATTTCCAAGTCAAATCCCCTAAAATGTCTTGTTTCAGAGCGAGCATGTGGTTGTGCTGATGACGTTTCAAACAGACATGAAACTGGACAAATGTCTCAGGATGAATGAGAGGCGTCGTACACGTAGAGAGACAAAGACAAAGACGTCAATTTGGATGCATCAATGCCGGTGTCACTGTACTGTACACGAAAACACTGAGCAGCAGAATTTATACGTCATGCCCTGCCTCCTGCAGCTCTACCCAGGCTCCACCCCTCGTCTGATGTTCTGGAGATTTCCCTCTTGTCAACCAACAAACTCCTGCTGCGTTCTTCAAATGTTAAAAAAACGACGGTCTGAAAACAGCTTAAGGTGAAGGGAGGACTAATTGTATTCAGAATTTTTTATGAATGAATTTCTACACAGGCACTGAAATGTGAACCTGCTGAGTCTGGTACTGTTTATCATTTGGGGGAAGGGCTTTAAATTCTTTCCGTACCTGACTTCCAGGAAATCCTGCTCGCCAACACGGCGTCTGATGAGGTAGTCTTGAATATGTCCACCGGTGTCTATCCTCTCCCTTAGCAGGATTAGATCAGCCTCAATCTGCTCGCACAGCGACCTCACCGTGGCCACCGACGCCTCCATGTCCTTCTCATCCAGACCATAGTCACCTCCATCTAAACAGAGAGGAGAGTTACTCTGATGCACGACTCAAGTAACTATGAATGAGTGATAATACAATATACATTTGCTAAAGAATGTTTGCCTTTCTTATGAACATGTGACCGAACTATGAGCATATTCTTTCTGAATATTCATGTCTGAAAAATGTCAGTTAATATAAAGCGTCACCACAGGATTGTTGGTTAGTTTCTTTAAAGGCAGGCAGGGGACTGAATTACACTGACAGTTGTGTTTGTAGAGGTCAGAGTAAATACACAGGTGGCTTATAGGAGTGACAGAACCAGTTGTATTGAGAATGTGAGAAAACTTGATTTATTGAAACCCCAGTGGCTCATGACTGGACCATAACCGGTTTTTTTCAGATGCAATCATAGAACAGCAGGCTTGTAAATGTTTGTCATAGGTCAGTGCACTAAGAAACATCCTCATCTTTCTTAAGTAAATATCATTTTCAAAGAAATCACAGAGGATATTTAGCTCACCGCTGCCTGTCTGACCACAAACTGCAGTTACATAATTAGGGGAATGTAAACGGGGTCAGTGTGGCAGTCAGACAGCTGCTCGTCAGTCAGACAAACACACATCCATGAACTGGTGAACTGGTGACAGTCCCAGTGCTGAGCAGGGAAAAAACGACACCCTTTCACACAAGCACTCTGACCCCCGGGCCTCCAAAACAGCACATGGGTCAGACATGTTGCTGTAACAGGCAGAAAATAACTCTGGTTGCCGACAAAAGCCGCCGTTTCTCTGTGCCTGTGGCAGAGAGTTTCAGAGTGAGAACTAAATAACAGACAAATGGTTTTAGCTGCCTGGGGGCTAACTCCAGGCCACAACTGACAGGAGACACTTTCCCTAAATACACTTAATGACTACTATGATTTAATAAGTACTGTGCTCTCGGTGTTACAGCAAATCACTTAACATGAACTTTCAACAGAACTTGACTATGACATCCAAATTAAAAAACCTTTTCCTTGTTTATTGAATTACAATGTTTTACAGGTACTGATATAACATTTTAGATTTATTTTGAAAAGGTGCCATATGTATGTTTTTACAATTAATACACAGCTAAATTTAGCAATAACAGCTTGTTTCTATACTATTCTTGCAGAGAAGTTAATTCAGTTCTACTCCTGTTACTACACAGTATTATATATTTTGCTAAAATTGTACTCCAGGTAATGTGCAATGTCTTCTTATGTACTGTGTTGTGTTATTATGGGGAAAGTGAAAGATGAATTTTGAGGAATTGTTCCACTCTGAGCATAAAAACAATCCAGCAAGAATAATGTAAAAGCAAACTGCCTCAATATGGCAATTCATTTTTCCATATTGCAGCATTGCAGCCAACAGTCCATGGAATAATGTGCCAGGAGAATACTCGTCTTCATCGTAACATGCCAGGAGAGTTACTTTTTCTTACCTGAGCCCATTCCAACCACATAGATTGTCTCCCCGCAGCCTTCATCTATCCGCTCCCTCAAATGTCGTAGTAATGAATCATACTGTTCCCCTGTCGGACTCACCAGCACCAGCTGAAAAGGTGAGAGACGAGGAAATAAACACCAGAGCTTGTAAAGGTCAAATGGGAGCAGACGCTGAGTCAAACAAGTGTCTGCAAGCGTCCTGAAGTCATAACTTCAAACAGAGAATGATGTGAATACCAAAGTGTTTTACTTGAAGGTTCTGCAGTGCAGGCAATGCACTTTTTTATTCTTTATTTTGCAGCAAAGTTTGCACACACTGAATGAGTGGGTGAGCTGCACTCACACACGCTGCGGTGCAACATACGTGTCACTTTCTGGGGGTTTGCACAGGCAGCACAAAAGGCGCAGTGTGCAGCTTCGCGTGCAGCAGGAGTTACGTCATGTCACAAACACAAGAATCACAACAGAGCAGCTGGAAACTTTACGTTACTGGGTGTAATTTACAGCCAGGCCCACCTTACTGCTCAGGTCTATGTGATCCTCGGGCTCGCCGTTCGTCTCCTCGCCGTCCTCGACGCCCTCGTCCCCGGCTGGATCGTCCGTACACCCGAGCTCAGGTGCAAACATACAAGCGGGCACTATGGACTCTGCTGCGGGCGCTGCAGCCGAGCAGCTCGCTGGTTCTGTCGCCGAAGCCATTTTCTGCAGAGAGATACAATCAGCACGAGCGATTAGTAAACAAACCGACCACCGTATCTCCTCACTAGCCTTTAGCCGCTAGCATCAGCAGAAAGTTACATTGACTATCACGGGAAGCTAGCTGATGCTAACAACATATCAAACTTGCTGCTATAACGTGTAAACGCCCTTAAAAGTGGAAACAGTGTTGAATATTCCTCCGCAGCTGTAACACGTCAGCTGTCTTTTATAACTCCTGAGGATCTGAAGGTTCAACGAGGCACAGTTCTGTAATTAAACGTGTAATTAAAATGAGAGTGTACCAGGAGCTGCTAGCTGGGTCACAAGCTAACTTAGCTGTTGATCCTGTTAGCTTCTGCGCGTCCGTGCCGAGCCTTCGACACGCCCATCACACAATGGAGGCAGGGGATTGGCTGTGGTGCTCAAAGTCACGCCCACCGCCGAAGTACACTCCCTTTAACTACGTCACAGTTTTTAACCGTGACCCGGATTCAGGAGCAACACAACAAACCTGTTAAATAATAAAAATATATATTACAACATAT